TCGCTGTTCCAGAATCTGTCGGAGGGTGAAGATATGGTCGATGCAACCTCTTGCAGGACGGAACCCAGCTTGGTTTTCACGGATTTGTCTCTCTCTCTCTCTGTGTGTGTTCAGTCAACCTTCGAAGGATAAGGCCAGAGAGCACCTTCGATGCCACAGCTAACAGGCTGACACCACGGTGGTTTTCACATATCGTCCGCGTACTCTTTTTGAAGATGGGGATAACCGTCGACATGCCCCATTCTGCAGGCACTTTCTCTTCGTCCCACATAGTGCCAATAAGCTTTGTCAGGTGGGTCACCAGGGATTTTCCGCCTTCTTTGAAGAGGGCTGGATACAGACCGTCCGGTCCTGGTGCCTTCTCACGTTTCAGCACGGCTATTTCTTATTTCATTTCTTCTTCTGAAGGGCGATCAAGGTTTACATTCCATTCGCCCGTATGCATTACCACCACTGGTTGTGTTGCATGAGGTGAAATACTCTACTCTTCGAAGTGTTCGGCCCATCTCTCCAGTGGACGTTTTTGCGAGTGAATTAATGAACCATCTTTTTCATTTATCGTTTCGCTGACCGTTGTTTTTCTAGAGCCAGTCGATCGTATCAGTTTCGACTTGTTACCATCGAACCACCAGCTTCACAAACCGGTTGGCGTATATCCTATTGAAATGCTTTGCCATCAAGCATACAGTGGTATCGAGAAGGATGACAGAGTGAACCGAGAAATATCAGTCACTTGAAACGAATAAGTCAGTCACGACATTTTTCCATCTGAGTTATTTCCATCAGTATGCGTCATATGTTCATGTATCCAAGTTCGTGTCAGTTAGATTGTCGTGAGCTGTTGTGCATCTGGTGTGAAATCGGTTGTATTTATGGAATGTCACGTGTTTGCACAGGATGTAGTTCATTCGGATGGAACCCCCGTATGACAGCCCCTATTGTCGTTGGCTTGTTCGCTGAGCTGAGCAATTTGATTGCAAACTTTTCACCACTAATCGAGATGACATCATCAGTGCGTTATTGAGTGGTGCGTAGCGGTGGGCTAGTCGTTGTGCACTGATGACGTCACCTCGACTGGTGATGAAACGTCTGCAATCAAATTGCCCAGCTCAGCGAACAGGCAAACGACAAACTACCCTACCTGAACTACCAACATTTTCCTCCATAGGAAGCTCCTACTGTAGTGGATAAAATTACTTGAACAACAAGTAAGTCCGTGGAAGTACCTAAGCAAGCATTTATCATAACCATGACGAGTGTTGTGATAAATATTTCAATCCTTCGATTTCCGAACACCAGCAGTTGTTGACGTCCATCTGTAAGCCAGTCCTCTGTCATCATGTGGGATAAGGGTTGCGCTTGTGCGCTGAGATTTGAGGGGATTAAAAACACTCCTTTGGTTAATGTCTGTTGTTTATTTCAAACGTTCATGTTACTGAGGCTGTCTTAAAAAGTACTGTTTGATTCTGATTTCTGAGCTCCTGGTTGTTCCGTCAATATACTTGAATATGCAGATCTACTATAATTGATAGATAAGGTTGGATACGGTTCTCCATTGGAAGGGGGCCAGGCAGGCAGGTGGTTTCACCGAATACTATTGATTGGATAGAGTTGTAAAATTCCTTTTAATGACTGTATTCTAACAGCCATTAGTAAATAATGACTTGTTATCTCCTTTGTACCGCGAGGCTAAGCACACCATTTCTTTTGGTGGGCATGACAAAAACTTACATCTTGCTTGAAGTTTGTAGTCGAGGTCTATGTGTCTCCGTACAGAGCTGCATGCAGTTACTGTTTCTTTAAGTATTTGCGCCCCACACTCTACTGTGTCTAGAGTGACGCACTATAATCTGCTAAACTGGGTCCAAATCAGAGCATGTCTTTGTTCAAAGTTGAGACGCTTATTCATTTCGATTTGTATTCGGAGGATCACGTTCAAGTAGGCGATCACATCATTCTGACCCGATCTTACGGCAAAATTTAAAGAGAGGCGGATACCACCTAGTAGTTAATGAAATTCATGTATACAGTCGTCATCTGTAGATTCTGTGAAGACATCATCACCATAGTGTCTAAGGATGACGAGTTCTTAGATCTGTAGATTCTGTGAAGACATCATCACCATAGTTCTTAGATCTATTTGCTTACTCCTGGTTTACGTGGTCCGTGAATGAATCGGCCAAGGGAAGTTCGATAGAGGCTGCCCCACTGCGACTCTAATAATGTCTATAAAATGTTCAATGAAACAGAGACTAGATACAGATACAGAGACCCAGAGGCTTAGGTAATTCGTCCGTATTAATAATAATAATAATAATAAATCCAAAAAAGTGTGAATCATGGAACAGAACGTTATCAAATAATGCTCCATTATCAATTGGAGTCACTACTCCAAATTCGCATTAAAAGTTGATACCAGTTTTCCGTATTCAGGGACAAATATGACGAATTTGGATCTCGCAGATTCACGCCTGTTTACATGCCAAGGATTTGGAAACTCGACCATCTAATGTATTGAGTGCGAGTGTATAATTGTCTTGGGTGGGAGTGAACCAGGTAGCAAAGGTTTTTCGACTGAACCCCTATCCATGTAAAATTTCATGTGTAAGTGCTTCAAGATAACGTTTTCTTTGCGCCACGCCAGATGGCTTTTAATCGTGGTATTAAAAGTGAAAATAACGCTGTCTAAACATTTGTGCGCTACCAAAAGGAAGGAAACCTGATATATTCGCGAGATACTTTATTACTTTAACTTCGTGATTCGCTCTTCAACAACAGACTTTCATGTACCAGCAGCAAAGATCTGCTAAAGGTTTCCAAAGATTACGTCTTGGTGTTCACCAAATGTTGGCTACGTAAATGTATTAAGAAAGCGCATTTATCTCCCGAGATGTGTGGCTGTGAACTGTGATTTCCGAAATGTTCCTACTTACAGAACAGAGAGTGAAAAGAGCTGGTGAGACTGCGCTCTACGTTGTTTAGTGTACGCTAATGCTGGGAGTGTATATCTATGCGTAGGAACAATATTTTACTTCCTCAAAACCTAAAGAAACGACAAGTATATGCTGGTGGCCCTCTTTCAAACGCTCCACTTCTATCCGACAGTGATCAACTGTGTATTTCGTCATGGAGCAACAACTCACCGCGTTCACGCACAATTTGCAACTCTCCAGCAAATCCGGTTAGCTCATTTTGGGTGACCTTGTGACCAAACGGAGGCTCGCCTTGGATAATAAAGAACTTCACTCAACTACAGAAAGACATCAGTAAGCTCAAGCAACACCAATAAATATCTATTTGCTATTTTGCACCGAAATTTTGTTGCGTGAACTTCACGCTGCATTCAAGGCATAGTCTTTGAAGGGTTGTCCTTCATATTCGGTGGGCCACCGGAGAAGGTTATTTTGTAACAGCAGAGTCCTGGATGTTCTTCACAATTTGAAAGGTTTGTCAAAATTACAGGTCCCCACTTCAACCCATTCGTCTCAATTACCGCAATTAATTTTCAGTTCGCGAATATACACTCATTTGGAAACTAATTTAGTTTTTTCGAGAGACTCACCTGGAACCCAGCTGAACCCCTCGTTTGTGATGAGTAGTACATCACAACTACTTACATGTATCGCGATATCTCGAATATCGTAGCGACTGAAACATGAGGCGGCCTGGTGCAGCACATTCAATTGCCTGAAAACATCACAAACGAGAGATTCAGCTGGATTCCAGGTGAGTTTCCCGAAAAAAAAACAAATTAGTTTGCAAATGAGTGCATTCCGCTAGTTCTGTGCAATTTGGTTTCAAGCAGAACGTAAAGTTGACGGAAACTCGATGACTTCACCTACCTGATGAGCCCCAAATAGGACGAAACCGGTCGTGGGCTGTCGACGGATTTTCAGCAACCTTTTGAGTAGTGTATCGCCAATATTTAGTTTTCAGTTCATTCACATCATTACTGGAGTCCAGAACCATCCCTGAGCAGTTTTGAACCGCAACCGAAATGTTCTTGGCAAGCCATATCTTCAAAGAGAAAACACCATTTTGTTAGTCTGATTATCCTATTTCAGTGGGCCAATGAGACGGCTTAGTTTGGTCCTGTTTGACCCCCGTTGCACAATGCCGACAACGAAACCTTGTTCTTATTTCATTTACTTTGCTTGGGTCGGTCATCTTACCAGAAATTTAGACAACTAGCTTTCCAACAAAATAAGCTGCTGTATTGTAGTACAACGGGTTTTGTTTTTCAGTTTGACAAACTATCACTTCATAGGAAATCTTTTATGGGATAAATTTAGTCGATTGAATGAAGTTCAACAGTAAAGCAAATAAAACGAATACCTGCATGTGATGGTCAAACCATACGACAGGTGAATTCATATGCAATAATAGGTTACGGTATTCAAGGCTGCAAACGGTATGATTCTGTTCACAGGTTTAAATTGTCTTCACGCCAATATTAGAGTTTGATGAGTTCACGTGTCGGTTTTCTTTCGCGACGCATTGGCACGACGTCTCGGTTGTGTAACCGGAAGATTCAAACGTTCATCGGCGTTTGCTCCTGTATGTTTGAAGGTAATAATGCGCCAGGCGTCTGCAAGACATTTTTGCTAAAAAAGAAATGAAGGGGGAATAGCAGCAGAGTGTTTGGGATTCCTTTGCTGGTGTTGAGCAACAAATGCTCTGGAGAACGTCATTCGGTTTCTTAATCAAGCCAAACTTTTGCAAAAGCACATACCACTGTTGAGCACTTCGGCCAAAATCACCCAAGAACTGAACAAATAAACCAAGCAGTTCGTAGTTTGTTTCAAAATCACATTTGAAATCACAGACTCCGGATGACTTAGTGTTCCCCGTTACCACTTTGTCATTAATCCCCCCGAAGCATATGAAATGGACGTTTTCTCCAAAAAAACGTTTCCTAACAAAAATTTACAGGACAGTATCGTCGTTCAGGTCCCTTCTCTGCAGCCACCATTTTTACATCCCGAATCGAAGTTTCAGAAGGCTTTTACGATGAGATTCCTGAAAGTCTCCTAAAGTTGCTACTGAAATATACCAATAGAAAAACGAGTGTGATGGTTATTGCTCTAAAAAGAGCGACGAACAAGCGTCAAGTACAATAATTTTACAAGTTAGCTTCTAGAAGAAAGCTAATCTATTTGACCACATGAGTCACACTGACTTTCACTAATTTCCTCAAGGTCTGATTATGCCAGAAAGGCCAACGGAAAGCAGTCCGACGAAAAGTAAGTAGTTCCTCACTACAAGAAATCTGATCATTAGGCATTCTGGGGCTAAAGTGGTACTGTCTAATGGGACAGGAGTGTGAGAGGGACATTACTCAAACAACTTAAAGGTTCTCAAGCGGTTGGAATATGGTTGAATTACTTTTTGCCGCAAGGCAAACACAAGAGAAATTTTGTGAACGAAATTAACCATTCTGTGAACCAGCGTCACCAAAGACTTTGACCCAGTTATCGGGGAATCATCATGGGCCATATTAAAAAAGCTTGGCTACCTGGTCGAAACTTACAAGCTTTTCAAAGTCTGTTGTGCCGGGATGAAGCCCCGGTGCAGATGTGTGGGATTATTTTGAACGAGTTCGGTGAAGGAGTGGGGCAGGATCCTCTACGCACGTCTGTACGTAGAGGCTCCGCCATTGCATAGATGGTATGTCGACCTACTGTGCTCGATCGAAGTGTTTGCTGGCAAAAACACAGCTGTGCCCAGCGCCCATAGAATTATGTTTTCTGATGACTGCTCTTTATTTATGCATTCTGAGGCGGGATTATGGGGCTCACTACAAAGGTTGGTCCGCTTAACTTTCAGCATTCATCATTTTGCAATGCGAAGTTTTCAGCTAAATGACTGTGAGATATCACTGATATTATTATTGTTACTATTCATACAACATCCTCTTGGATTACGCAAGGAGATCAATTTTCGTAAAGCAGTGTCCTTCAAAGAGCAAGTGTCGTTCGAACTTGATTCAGTCTGATTTGAAACTAGCATCACTGTTGAGGCCGTCTAAAACGATTTTCCAAAACCCACATCCTAAAACAAAATGTTTATGGTCAGGTAGTAAAAGTGGAATAATATATTTGGGATACCCGGAATTCCATCACGGAGATAACCTTAAGGTATGTATGGAAAACTATAATTTCCAAAACCTGGCACTTGACAGAGAGGTCACCAGAACGGTTGTCTTTGTACGCGTCAGCAGCTTAAAGAGGCTCAGTCTCTCTAGTATAGCCTCCCGTATGTGGAACTGCGCGACATACGGACGCATGTGTCTTGATACGATCGGCTCTCGTGGTCGCCAGCGTACACAGTTTTTCACCCGTTATCGGTACGAGCGTGTACCAAAGTACGGCTGTTCCAGCTGCTTCAGTCATCAAAGATAGGGAGAATAGGGGAATGACAGCCATACATTAACGACAGCAGTTGTGCTAGTCTATTGAGGCTGAGTAGTTCTGTTTGTGTGGTAAAATAGGGCACCTGATGTTGAAGTTCTGCCCGGATTTAAATGGCCCTCCCGACTAGTTGGGGTGATGAGAGTTGGCCAAGGTTACCCTTCGGGAGTGCGAAAGCACTCCCCGAAGACGGTTTCGAAAGCTGTGAGCACAGTCTCTTTAACAGTTTCCCAGCCGTCATCCGACCCACTATTAATAGAATTGCACCCACCGACTCCTGGAATTTCTAACCAACTCAGCTAGATAATGTTGGGGTATAGTGATATTTGGCAGGTGAACTGAGTGACCTTGCACCAACCAGCGTGCTTCAGAGGAGGGGCGGTTAGACACACGTATCAGCAAAATGTCGGGTCATGGACAAATGGTGTATTTAAAGATGAACGACGGTCGCATGTGGAAACTATCCACCGGGAACTAATTGCCAAGTGGTTCAACTGAGTCCAGGGTTGTTTTGTAACACTGTCTGAGCACTTGTGCTGAAAGTTTATGCTAGCTGGAAACAAACGCTCTTAAACAGCTAACCGGAAAGGTCATTTGTATTGCGTCCGTGGTGAGTGTCAACCCCCAATCGGCCATTCAGACGAGCTCCTCCTGGCTTAGTTGGCTAGTCGCTTCCAAAAGGCCTTGGCACGTCGCATGGTCTACATCACAACCTAGGGCTTATGGGGAGAATTCTGAGCAGTTCAGATCATTCGTGGTTCTCCTACTCTGCACAGAACTCCACTATTTTGGTTACCATTGTCCGGCAGATCCATGCTGGATGTCAATCTTACACGTAGGCCTACCTCACTGCCATCTTTAAAAAGCTGATTTTATGGTGTACTGTTTTCTACCCTGCATCCTGTCAAAGACTGTGAGTTTCATAATCACAATGCGCAGACCGAGCATTGGGTACGAAACTCGCATAAAGTCTCGCAACTCTGCTTCTATTAATATCCATGGGTTTATATAGGTAGAAATAATTTACTGATACATAAAATCCAATCCAAAAGGACAATAATAATCTCTTCCACTCGTATGCTGAGTTTAACTTCATCCCGGCATTTCTGGATAATTCACTATGAACCGTTTTCCGAAAGAAATCCACCACAAGCTGCCTTTTACCTATTGTTCAAGCCTACAAAGAAATCTCAGTCAAGTAAGTTTGTTTCCTGCATCCTCCTACTGTTTTGGCTGGTCCTGTCGACGACCATGTCATCATTATCGCATGCTTTAGACGTTCAACAGTTCAAAGTTTCCGTGAGATCATTGGAGGACGATTATAATGGGAGGATTTTTCATGATTTACGAACTAGATGTCTCCTGTTAGGTGATTTCTTCGTGCGACATGGACTGTAGCACACTAGTCTGCAGTCAGCGAAGGCGGAGGGGGGGGGGAGCGGAGTGATGAAACTTATTGGTAACTGAATGAGTATGTATAGAGTATGCATATATTTGTATGTGTATGTATGTATATATATGTATATATATGTATGTATATATAGAGTGTGTATATTCAATCAAATAATGCATCCTTTAAAAACTTACCGGAATCAGGTGTTCCCACTCGCCATTACTCTCGATGGACTTCAACTCGCTTGCTGTCATCAAACCATATCGGATTCCCTCCATCACAAGCAAAACTGTCCGCCGTACTTCTGTTGCACGCTTTCTCGTAAACATTGCTGAATTCAAACCCGCTGCAGAGCTATATTTGTTGGTTACGTATGGTCCCTTTGCCGCTGCCATCGCACCTGAAGCTGATCGGCTGCCTGTTTGGTTAGCTGTTGTCTGATAAGCCGTTTCCAAATAGGAATTTGCCCATTCTGCTGCCACGTAGAACAGTTCTATTTCTTTCATTGCAAGGTCATCACTTTTCAAAATGGTCAGCATGGCGCCAGGCGTCAGAAGAAAAATTGTGGGGTTATTCGGATTGAGCAGTTCCTGGGTAGTGTGTAAGGATCAGGATAAAATGAATTTAATGATGCAAGAAGCAACTGAGGACGAAGAGTTTATGTCTCAAAGTGAGTACAAAGTTTTCAACCAGATTTAGCTTTTTTGCCTTTAACAACAAGGCCAGAAATGACAATCAGACCTTCTCACTTTAATTTTGAAATGTGCACAGAATGATTCCAACGTATCATTGTGAATCATTGCATCACTGAATTTTCAAGATGAAACGAATGAAACTCTGGATGCAAATCGCTCAGATGATTTTAACACGTCACAAAACTAAATAATTTTTAAATCTGAGTACGACCAGTCGGGTAACACGTATTGCTATCGTCCCTAAGTTGGATAGCTCACGCACTGAATTGACTGGATGGGATTACGTGAACCCGTGACAGCAGCATATGATCTTATGGTCACTGTGTGGTGTGGTCATCTGTCAGCAATGTGCACTAAAATGACGTTCTAGCTAGTGGAATTCTCATGAACTACACAGCTAGAAACCAGAACGACAAATGCGGCAGTGTTACGGGGTTGCTTTCTTGAGACCAAAAGATGATCCCGCCTGGTAAGAGAGTAAGCAGGAACGGTTTCAAACACACAGATGCACTAATTGATCCAATGTTACCCTACACAAATTTGATAATGTTGTGTGGCTTGTGTTGATCTGAGTAAACGGGGGAAATTCGCATCTTATAGTGCGGGATATGCGGACAAAATAGTCCAAGTGCATAGAGCGCGGATGAAGATGCATTGCGTTAATTGTGTTGATGGTTCAATTCAGGCATTCGTCAATTACTACCCTAGGAGATTCATACTACCTTTAGCATCGTAGTCTGCGTAACTATATTCCCTTCTTGTGTGATTTAGGCACTGGTTGCACCTTGTACGACAAGGAGGTGCACTTAATAAGGCGTTCAAACCGAGGAAGGTGTGTCCAGCTCAGAAAGTAAAAGTTGACCGTGGGATTGGAGTGTGACCATTTAAATCCACACTGAGGGTGTTTTGGTGCGGTGCTCCGGTTGGTGCAGCACGTAGTTCGGCGAACTAGTCATTCGGGCCTATTCGTCGACAGGAAGTGAGGTGACAAAAGGGATTTCTAACATACAAGCATGGAAAATGGTATAACCGGCGATCTCGGTTTACCCTATTTTTCAAATTGACCTTCCTATTGTGACTTGGACGCGAGTCATTAGTGGCACCAATACGGACGAAAAATCTAATAGGATATCAGCTTGGGCTGGTGATTGACTCTGAATACTACTTTGCTGGTTTGTTGAAACCTTGTTACAGTTCAGGACGAAACTGCTCAGTGATCAGAGAGCGAATTTACTGACCGAAAGGTCCGTGGTTTGAACCCAACCTCTCTACCCCCACTTACCCTGTCTAGGCTTGAGCAACCTAAAAGTATCCCAGCCCTCATGCTTTCTCCGGGTGGCATGGCGGTTAGGCACCGAAATTTTGTTACAGCTGAACGATTATTTGTTTCATTTTTTGTCACACTTCAGTATTTTACGGTTTCAAGTAAACAGGACCAAAAAGCGTGGGTTCGCAACTGTTGTCTAAAGTGGTGAATACATTTCTGGGGGACATGTGAAACATTAACCAGGAGCTTCCAGCACAAGATGTACCGAAAAAATTGACTCTTGTCAATAGAATAGGCTTTTCCACGTTAGCTGGGTGAGGCAAACTTAATTTGATGATAATAGCATCGAGGGGATATTCTAGTGAATGGGTAAGGCATCATCAGTAATCGATTTACTGTGGATAAAGATAGTGAGACAAGTGCTTATTTCGTAGTAAACCTTTCCCAACACGTGTTGTCTACTTACTCAGAAGGGTTAATTTTTGACTATCCAGATAAGTTCTCGACAAGGAAGGGTAACCACATACCAGTCTATATACAAGGTGTCTCATAATAAACGCAAAAAATAATACCCAAGTTTCAACTTTAAAGTTGACTTTAAAATTTTTATTTTTTAACGTAAACATACAAACATTATGGAGGTTTATTTCTAAAAGATTTAAAAAAGCGTGCCTTCCTTTTATGGCAAGTTGGAGGCGGTATGAGATGTGGGACACAGCATGTTTAACTTCATGCGCCACTCTTGCACACTCCTCTTCAATTCTTGCCCTTAACTCCACCAAATTCTTCGGTTTATTTTCATGACATACGCGAGTCTTGACCATTTACCAAAATCAATAATCCAGAGGTGTGAAATCGGGTNTTCAATTCTTGCCCTTAAGTCCACCAAATTCTTCGGTTTATTTTCATGATATACGCGAGTCTTGATCATTTACCAAAATCAATAATCCAGAGGTGTGAAATCGGGTGACTTTGTGAGCCAAAAGTTTGGAAATCCACGAGCAATGACTCCCTCATCACAAAATTGCTCTCGGAGGTAAGTTCTCACTTGGTTTGAGTAGTGGAGTGGAACGGCATCTCGTTGAAAGACGGTCGATGTGCTGCTTGAGTTGCGCGATAACATGCGTCTACAGCATATGGAGGTAACTGTCCCCGGAAACCGCAGGAGACACTTTGAGGAGAATCCCATCCACATACAAAGATTAGGGGAATGGAGATTATGGGTGAGGTACTCGTGAAGAGCTCCACAGGACCGTATCACGCAATTGTGCTTGTTGATTATGCCATTCACAGAAAAAATTGCTTTGTTGCTCCATAAAATGTTGGGAACAATTTCTTCATTGTCCAGCCACCAGTTAGCGCACGAGACTCGATGCTCCTTGTCCTCTTCCTTGATGTTTTGTAATAAAGTGGAACTATACGGGTAGAGCTGAAGGTGGAGTCTCATAATACGATGCACGCTGGCGCGGGGACACGGGAGACACCTGAGTTATCGACGAAGATGCCATGGTGCTCTGGGACTGAAGTTGCTCGACGGCATTCTGTACTATGGGCACTCTTTCATCACTCAGAGACCTTTTCCCTCTGCCAGGAAAATCTAACACAGATCCAGTGGACTCAAATTTCGCAATCAAGCGTGCAATGGTCGACACGGTGAAAGGATCTTTGATGAGACTATGTTTGGTTTTGTAACCACGAAGTGAAGCGGTGGCGCTTTCACCTAGGGAATAACAGAGTCTCACCATTTCAATGCGCGTACTGACATCCATCGTAGAAAAAATGACAACACTTGCGCACATAACCTCCTTTATGTGGCTACTAATAATAAAACATTTTGTTATCTTTCCTATAATTGACCACGTTTAATCGCCCAATTAACCGTTGCGTCTATTATGAGACATCCTGTATAAGCATATTTATAACCTATAGTTAAAACCATACTTTCTCCAGGCAAATAATGGTCGAGGACAAACAGTCCAGAACAGTCCACCTGAAACAGAAATTATCAGAAGGTGGCTGGCTTAGGAAAAGAGGCCAAGGTCTAAAGAGACTGAGCTTTACAGCCATATGGCAACATGCCTGTGATTATGAAAATATTCTCCGTACTTTCCGGAGAAGACTGGATGCCATCTCAATAACACAAACGCTCTAATCTGGCTTGGCTTGGTGCGTGGAATCCCCATAACCGTAAACAATTAAAGTATGCCTGATATCCTCCTTCTGTCAAGGTTGAAAACGTTCTATAGAATAAACCTACTGCACTTAGTGAATTAATCTTACACAATATATAAGTCCAATAAGGCTAAGAGAATGCCTATTGCCAACTTCTTTCAAAGAGAACGGACCAAATGTACTGTGCTTCTCTGATTTTGGCGCTGGTCATCACGTTAAGCTTTCAAGATGACCACAAGAACCTCGAACTATCAATCTCTCTTCCACGTACAAAATAGATAAAGAGAACGATCCCATCAGATGAGTCATTCATTTACTGGGGGGTTGGTAGTGAAGACAGCCAACTTCATGTAATGTAAAATAAATGTGCACTGTACAAATGCTGAACAGCTACACTGTTCATCGATTAACCACGGTTCAAGTTTCCATACATCATACTTTGCCTTCTCAGATCCCCTTCCAAATCCAGCACATGTCCATTGCTTTTGTCCGATTCACAATTACAGGAAATTTATACCTTCAGTTCCGTGACTAGTAGGATACTGTGAGGCTTCACATACCTCTCAAACTTTTGAACGTAGAAAAACAGTTTTCCGCCAATACGGGTTTGATTCTAGTACACTTGGTAAGAAGGAAAAAGAGCAGGTCAACTCTGAACAGAAAAAAAAACAAAATGAAGAGCGAAAACTATCATTTCTCAATTTTGGAAGATGTTCACGATCCATGTCAGGATAGGATCATGACTTTTCTTGAAACTTTCGATACAGCGCTTGTGAATGGAAAATCACCTTCTTTTGAAAGCAGCCAGTGCAGAATTTGACATGAAGACACTTCCTAATAGAACATTATCCATCTGAGCCAAATTAGGTGAATGCCTAAACATTGCAAGAAAAGTCGGACCACATATGTTTGGTCGGGCCGGTAAGATACTAGCCTCGTTGAACACCTATTAGCCGTATTCTACAGTCCTGGTGATCAGTCATTGGACTGTGTGAAAGTTCATATTACTGTCAATAATTTCGCACTACTTCGCCAAGCAGTTGCCGATATGTTTGCATCGTATGAGTGGTGTTCAAAACCATATTGATCAACAAAACACTGCGTATGCAAGATGGTTCATGGGGTTCTTGGAGAAAGTCACAATTATATCCGATTTCGTACCGTTTGCAAGCCGTAAAATTGTGACACCATATTGTTTTTCACTCTTACTAGTCAGGCTCTCTCCTCTACATGTAAAGATATCTGACATCTCACCGTTAAACGTGGAAAGTTGTGAAAGAAAACAACAGTTTTCTAGGTAGTCTTGCGGAAGAGAAAGCTGAGTTTGGGGAGTTTTGTTTCGTAGAACCGAAAATAAAGTGCGAGCTTAAAAGTGGGTCGCGATACATTGACTGTGTCTATGGGATCATGCCTATTCCAAAATTTTAGCTGAAGTTTGGAAATATACACATCACTTTGAATTTTGCCTATGAACCCCAATCAGTCTGACTGTTGGTCCCAGTAAACAGTTAGTTAGCCATCCGACGGTTCACAATACCGGTCACAGTGACTTAGTTAAAAGTGGCTAGGAGCTTATAAAGAGCTACAGACACAAATGTGCACTCTTTAAAGATTGTGTGGGGTGTTTGCACTAAATTTAGTAAACAATTTGAGGCTCAACGTATCTTAACAGAATTTTAGAGAGAAAGTACCATCCGAGGTAACTTACTTGTTCGAATTGAACAATAAAAGCCATGCATGCATTCTTCAGTTCTGAACGTTTGAACTTGACCGCGATGTTAAGAACTTCAAATACTGTGCGGCGGTCAATCGTTTCAATCAGATGTTCTTCAGTCACCTTTTCGGAAAAACCAAATCGTAGCTTTTCCAGATTTGGAGAAGAACACCTACTTTAGCCAGTTCCTGTAACTGAAACTTGAGTGCCGTGCGGAGTACTTCGTGAAGCTTGTGAAAATGTTCTACTCGACATCTGATGTAGGACTTACTTTGCTTGTTGGCATATTTTCGAAATTCATGCGATTTGTATACAGAAATTGTATCAAGATGCGGAATACTTCAGGCTCGCAACTTTTCAGCACGTGAGAGCTTTTCGGAGATTGCATCAAGTCACCCGTGTTTGGAAGTAGCATTTTGCTGATCGCAGGACATCGAGCTGCAATGATTGCTTTGTGGCAATTCAGTGTAAAGCCTTTCTGGCCAAGCAGAAAGCGGGTATCGCTGTGACGTAAAAGTAGAAGGCAAGACAAAGGAGGCATTAAGAGAAATGAATCACTTGCAGGCTATTTCGCCTGAAGACAAAACCATTGGATGCAAACTTCCATTGCATAAAGGTGCACTCGATATCACGTTTCTCATTAGCTTAGTTTTTATCGCAACACTACCCCGTCAAACACAGTTTGGATGAGGGGGAGGGGCAATTTTGAGGGCCTACAATATTTTCACTCCAATCCATTCTCATGGAAACAGCCAATCAGGACTGAACAGGGGGTATTACGTAGTTCCTTAAAAAACCAGTTTAGCCTTTAAGGGGGAGTAACACAATCCAACTGACCGATGTCGCTCATCAAGCTAAGCGGTTGACACTATCAGCATTGCTGATACACTATGATGCAACGACATTGCGCAGTTCTTTATCGTACTTGACCCGCCTTGGCTAGTAAATTGGTCTAAGACAAGCATGCTGCGCTAGTCTTTAGACACGTCTAATAGTCAAAATGGACGGGATTAGTCAGAGCTAACCCGATATTGATCGAGTTTGGTTGCCACGGTAGAGTAAATCTTCTTGTTGAGTAATCTGGTTTTGTAGTTACAATACTCACAATTCTCGTCTGCTTGTTTCTACTAGCTCACATGATCATTTGATGAACAAACCACGTTGTACTGACCAGTATTAATGAAACACAATAATAGGCTGTAAATTATTTAAAGCAAAACGGAATGTAGGCACCAAAGCTGTTCGTTGCACCCTGATACACGTCTGTTTTCCTCGCTCCTGTGCATACAAAGGACAGTAGGATTCTTTTCAGTCATTTCTCTCACAATGAGACGCGTTGTCGTGGAGGAACTTTTCTGTTTTTCAAATGAATCTTCAATTGGTAAAACCATGTGTCGTACAATATTCACGGCTAATTGATGTCAGTGGTGTTCGTGCTGTCAGTTTCTTTCCAGATTGTCTGATTGAGCGATTGGAAGTGTAGACACTTCAGAGTGCTTGAAATAGGTCTGCGCTAGGTTCCCTCACTCACTCATTCTCTTTCTCTTCTATTCAGTGTAGGGCTTTTAATATACTTATATA